AGTTGTGATAATGCTAGAAGCTAGAAATCAATGAACAATACCCTCAATATCTGAAGAAAAGTTATTTCTTTTTTGTTTGTTTGTTTAAGTCTTAATTTGAAAGACTGACAGAGCACAAGCAGGGGAGGGGCAGAGAGACAGGAAGAATCCCAAGCAGGATCCATGCTATCAGCACAGAGCCCGATGCAGGGCTTGAACTCTGGTCATGTGAGATCATGACCAGAGCCGAAATCAAGGGTCAGGCACCCAACCGACTTAGCCATCCAGACGCCCCCCCAAAGAAAAGTTACTTCAATCTTAAATTCTGTACCCAAGTTTATTCCAGAATTCACACAAGACATAAAAGAGAGATGTCCCATGAAACCTTTCTTAGGAAGATACTAAAAAATGTGCTTCAGCAAAACAAAGGCCTAAACAAGAAAAGAGGAAGATGTGAAATCTAGAAAACAGGATCCAATACAGAGGAGAAAAGATGAGAAGTCCTAGGGTGACTACTTTGCAATAAATCTAAAGAGCAAACAATATAGACTGGGACAGAAGGACAGAGAGCTCTGGGACAAAGGCCCCTAGGAAAATAGTAACACTCATATTTTTAAGCAGACAGAACCCATTATTGATAAATATGTGGCAGAGATGTTAGAGCAGTTGGGGAAAAAAATAACAGGTATGTAAATAACCAGGCAAATAAAAATAAAAGCAATGATTAACTTCAGGAAAAATGAAGGGTTGAACAAGAAAGGCAGTGTGCTTATGATGTGCTTCTTGGCTCAGCAGTGAACACTGTTTGCACAGACATAAGGAGTAAACACTAATCATTAATTTAGCCAAAAGTTATGATAAATCTCTGTTAGATGACAGGGGGGCAAGTGGGTATGGGGAAGGAGTAGGACAGTAAAGTCCATATCTACTCTGAAAAGTTAACAGTTGTCTAAAACTGATTATATTAGATACATCAGGAAATAACCACATTGGCAGGTTCTTTAGGAAATATGAAGGTGAACAACAAAAGAAACATCTAGAATTGTGAAAAATGACATCAAGAATGGGAATGGAGAAGGTTAAGCATGGGGCTGTTTTTTCTTATTAGTTGCCTTTTAATATTCCTTGACTAAGTGACTTCAATGAAAAATTCAATTTAAAAATTAGTAACACTTAGGGGCACCTGGGTGGCTCAGTCAGTTACCGTCTGACTTCAGCTCAGGTCACGACCTCACGGTTTGTGGGTTTGAGCCCCACGTCAGACTCTGAGCTGACAGCTCAGAGCCTGAAGCCTGCTTCAGATTCTGTGTCTCCCTCTCTCTCTCTCTCTGCCCCTCCCACACTTGTGCACTCCGTCCCTCCCTCTAACTAAATAAACATTTTTAAAAATAAAAATTAATAGGGGCGTCTGGGTGGCTCAGTCAGTTGAGTGACTGACTTCAGCTCAGGTCATGATCTCGTGGTCCATGACTTCAAGCCTTGCATCGGGCCCTGTGCTGACAGCTCAGAGCCTGGAGCCTGCTTGGGATTCTGTGTCTCCCTCTCTCTCTGTTCCTCCCCCATTCATGCCCTGTTTCTTTCTCTCTCTCTCTCTCTTTCTAAAAATAAGTAAATATTAAATTAAAAAATAAATAAAAATAACACTTAAAACAAAATAGAAGCTGAGAATACACCGGATGTAATTAAAATGGAAATGTTTAGATAACCCAAGAACAGTCTGGGGTTGCCCATATAAAAAGATGCTCTGGTTATAAAAACAATTACTCAAGACCTAAAATGGGGACGCTGCTGATGTGCCTCCCACATGAAGCTGAAAGAGTAACCACGATGGACCATACACCATCCTATCACGCTGTGTGGTGTGAAACCATATTCTCAGCTACAGCCTCTCTTTGACAGGTTCTGCCTCCCCCGTACCCCAGGCCACAACCTCCTATATCATCTCCCCACCTCCTCTCATTCCTCAGCCTAAATCAGCCTATGCTGTGACCAGAAGAACCTTCCTCAACCATAATTCTGATTACCTCACTCTATAACCTCAGTGGCTCCCTACTGCCTACTAAATCAAGTCCCATTCTGCAGCCTCCTATGTCCTCCCCAATTATACAGCAAACCCACCTTTGTAGAGATGCTACTGTGTGTAGCTTGACTTAACCTTATTCTGCCTAGAGATAGGAATGGGGACAAAAAAGATTAAGGAATGTTCATTTTTATCTTATATTCCTCGGTATCATTTGTTTTTATTTATTTATTTATTTAAATTCAAGTTAGTTGACATACATCTGTAGCATTGGTTTCAGAAGTAGAACCCAGTGATTCATCCCTCATATATGACTCCCCGTGTTCATCCCAACAAGTGCCCTCCTTAATACCCACCATCCATTTAGCCCATCCCCCCACCTACCTCCCCTGCAGCAATCCTCAGTCCAGTCTGTATTTAAGACTCTCTTATGGTATTGCTTCTGTTTTTTTACAAGTAAGCAGGTATTACTTTTTGTGATTAAAAAAAAAAAAAAAATCCTAAGCATAACGAAACAAATTTAACATGGGGGAACCATGGTACCCACTTCCAAGATCAAATCTATAGATGAGTTACTTGCCAGAACTTCAATCCTGAATTCATCCATCACATATTTCCAGTACTGGGAAGACTTGATGCTGAAGGGGTCAAAGGTCAGGTTTTCCATGGGGGTGACCAGGCTGTCCACCCTGCACAGGACATCGTCAATGCGCTTGGGATCCCCCGTCACTGCCTTTAGTTCTGGACCAAATATATTGTAAAATTCCTCCATAACCTGTCCAAACAAACAAAACACAGGGAGGCTGCCTTTCGGTTTTCCATGAGTGTGTTTAACGTTTATTTACTCTTGAGTGAGAGACAGTGTCGAGCAGGGGAGGGTCAGAGAGGGAGGGAGACACAGAATACGAAGCAGGCTCCAGGCTCTGAGCTGTCGGCACAGAGCCCGACATGGGGCTGGAACTCCCAAACTGTGAGATCATGACCTGAGCCGAAGTCGGATGTTCAACCGACTGAGCCACCCAGACACCCCAGTAATTTTATCTTTGAACGTGTGTTTTGTAAATGAAATCTGATAGGGCGGCCGTGCACACATGTGAGCAGATACGTGGGATCTACTTGTCTGCTTCCACTTTGTCACATACAGCATGGGACGCCCCACAAGCACAGAATTCTAGTGGGCCCACGTATGGCAGTTCAGGGGGTTGGGGGGACATTCGCAGCCAGCACAGGGAAATGTGTCACATCAAAGACAAGTACACGAGGACACAGGCTGCGATGAGAGACCACCTTCTCCCTTCAAGCCGGAGTTTGCTTCCAGAACAGTGGGCTAGGAAACACACCTGATCAGGAAACCTACCATATCGGTTCTGTAACTTCCTGTTACTTCCCCGTGTTGGCCAACTACTCCCCCTGAGCGATGACATAGGACAAAGAGCAGGCAACCCACCCAGCCCTTCCTTACCCGTTGGTAAGCTGGAGGTAGAGAATCCTGGCAGAATGTGCTGGCACCAAGAAGTGAGAGAGAGAAGGAGTTAAGATGGCAGAGGGGTAGGGGGACCCTGGACCTGCCTGGTCCCTGGAACCCAGCTCGGTCAACATCGTATCATTCTGAGCACCTAGGAAATCAGCCTGAGGATTAAGAGAACAATCTGCACAATTAGAGGGAGAGACTGTGGCAGGTACCAGGAGGCACAGAGACGTGAACTGGGGGAGAGAAGAGCCGAGGTGCCTTGGAGGGGAGGGAGCCCTTTTCGCGGAGAGAAGACAGAGAGAGCGGGGGAGAGAGGGGGTTCGGGTCGTGCAAGAAAAACACCCCCCAAAACCACCGACCGGGGAATCGAGAGAAATGGACTGTCACAAGTTTTTGCAAACAGAGGAGCTCACATTCTGAGGGTCTGGAAGTTTGCACCATTCCCGGAAGTCGAGCCGGGCAGACGGGGGGGG